CCCTCCGGAGGCGCCGGACGGTTTGCCAGAATCGCTTTGAGGCCAACCAATAGTCTTTTTCCATGGCCTCTCCGAACTCCTCCCAGGCCTGAGACTTTGCCTCTGCAACCGCCCGGGCCGCGACATGCTTGGCCTCACGGTACCTGCTTGCTGCTTCAGGAGTCCCACAAGCCAGCCAGGCTCGATAGGACTCCTTCTTCAGCTTGACAGCATCCCTTACTATCGGTGTCCACCACCGAGTTCGGCGATTGCCACCACGACAGGCACCGCAAACCTTACGGCCACAGCTACGGGCAGCTGCATCGACAATCGAGGCAGAGAACACAGCCCATTCGGACTTCATGTCTCCAACCTCCCTTGGAACCTGAGAGAAGCTCTCCCGGAGGTGGGAGTTGAACACGTCCCTGACCAAGGGCTCCACCAGACGTTCCCAGCAGACCCTCACTACACATTTGGGCCTGCCGAGTCTTTCAGGCTTCCTCCTCTTCCAGCGTATCCACCTCACCACCAGGTGGTGGTCGGTGGAGAGCTCCGCCCCTCTCTTCCCCCGAGTGTCCAAGACATGCGGCTGAAGATCGGAAGATACGACTACAAAGTCGATCATCGACCTTCGGCCTAGGGTGTCCTGGTGCTAGGTGCACCGATGGACATCCTTATGCCTGAACATGGTGTTCATTATGGACAATCCGTGACTTGCACAGAAGTCCAATAATGAGACACCACTCTGGTTTAGAGCTGGGGGCCCGTTCCTCCCGATCACGCCCCTCCAGGTGTCACTGTCGTTTCCCACGTGGGCATTGAAGTCTCCAAGCAGAATGATGGAATCCCCGGGAGGGGCGCTTTCTAACACCCTCCCCAGGGATGCTAAGAAGGCCTGGTACTCCGTACTGCCGTTTGGCCCATAGGCCGAAACAACTGTCAGAGTCCTCCCTTCAACCCGAAGGCGAAGGGATGCGACTCTCTCGTATACCGGGATGAACTCCAACACGAGAGGGCTGAGCTGGGGGGAGACAAGCAGCCCCACCCCCGCCCTCCGCATCTCCCTGCGGGTCACTCCAGAGTAGAAGAGAGTCCAGCCTCTCTCAAGGAGCTGGGTTCCAGAGCCCTGGCTGTGTGTAGAGGCGAGCCCATCTATTTCTAGCTGGTATCGCTCCACCTCCCGCACAAGCTCGGGCTCCTTCCCCGCCAGTGAGGTGACATTCCACGTCCCCAGAGCCAGTTTAAGCGCCCGCGGATCAGGTCGCCGATGTCTCCGCCTCTGGCTGCCGCCCAATCTCCTTTGCACCGGTTCCTCATGGTTCCCCCTGCAGGTGGTGGGCCCACTGGGGGGTGGCCTCGCGTCGCTCCTTCGGGCTGGGCCCGGCCGGGTCCCGCGAGGAAGAACCCGACCACCAGGCGCTCGCCGACGAACCCCAACCCCAGGCCTGGCTCCAGGGTGGGGTCCCGGCTCCGCCGTATCGGGCGACGTCACGTGCCTCGTTTTAGTCCTCGTCATAAGGGTTTTTGAACCGCTCTTCGTCTGACCTGTCACCCAGAGCCTGTTTGCCTTGGGAGACCCTTGCAGGGGCATTTAGCCCCCGACAACATAGCCTCTGGGATCACCCAGGCACTGAAACCCCTCCACCACATTAAGGTGGCGGTTCAAGGATGGGGAGATACAACACTAAAAAGACAAAATAACTTTGCGGATCCACCTAAACTAATTTCTTTGTGAATATCCTTTAGGGATATTCACAGCTGAAGCTGTTGAGCACATGTTGTAATCGGTCATTTAAAACTCCAGGTTATACCACGTGAGCTTCATAGCCATTTGACTGATAATTGCTGTACCAGTATTAGAGAACAAAAGGTTAAAGTTCTTGTTTTTTAGAAAATTCCCATAAACAGATTTCTTTCCACTGGCAGAACAAAGCAGACATTTGAGATGTTTCACTTGCCAAGTAAAAAAAAAAAACTAACTTGCTTCTTTCCCTTCAGCCCATTTCTCCTGTTTAGTACAAAGCTTGGCGTATTGTTCTGGCAGAGCTGCTTGTATATAATGACTTCTGACAGCAGTGGAGACAAACTGAAGAGCATGTCTGCCTCTTTATAACTATTTACAAATCTACTCTGGGGAACCGCATTCCAATTCTAGAAACATGCAACTCGCTGTGAACAACCACATAGATATAAGTATTTCTTTAAAAAGTAGAAAATACTTCCATAAATCGGAGCAATCTAAAATAGTTGGTGTGGAAGTAAAGAATGTAAGCGAGAAGCAGTTTAAGAGGTACAGTTACAGGGAGGGCTCCATTAGAGCTGCCAGCTCCACTAAATCTGGCAGCTGTTCTTTATTGGCTGCCTTCCAACGCTGATGAGATCTGGGCAGCGTTGTGCATTATAAATCGTTTTAAAAGTGACATATAAGTATTCATAGGCTGTGTTTTACAGTTTACTCTGAACTGTAAGGAAAAATAAACTTTACAAAGTATTTTCCCATTTCAAAAGAACAGATTAGAAGCCACGATGTTGTAAACAACAAACACTGAAGCATTTTAACATTTAAGCTTTTTCTAAACTCCACCTTAATGATTTATATGAATTCTGAAGTCAGTATGTTGGAGAGGAATGCCAGCTGAATGAGGCCAAGAGAGGGGGGTTTGAACGCTAAGTCCTCGGCTCTTTGTTTTGACTCCTCTCTAATCCCTCTAATTGGTATTTTGAATCCGAAGACCCCTAAAAGCTGCCGGATCTCTGAAGTTATAGTATGGTGATGTGACAGGGTCAGAAAGAGAGAGGTGTCTTGCAAATTGCTGAATGGTTTTGTTTAGGGCTGGGTATTTTCGCCAAAGTCCTGAATCAATTTGATTTTGATTCAATCTGTTTTTACAATTATGAAAGTGGTTGAACTGTGTTTCAAAATACTCATGTATTTTTTCCTGTCATATTAAAGACAAAGTGCAAACTTGTAAATTGGACAATTTAAACTTGAGATGTGAACAAAACTGTCTCAAAAGTGCAAACTTGTTTGCGAAAAGTGAAAAAGCGAAGCCTCACTTGAGCGAGCAGACGTGACACAGCGGGGACACAGCAGACATGCATGAGCTGCATTATCTCCACTGCACAAACCATATTTGCAGCATTGTCTGTAATGACTACAGGGTGTTTGCTGGTCAGCACCCATTTGATAATGTCTTTAGTCAACCTTTTGGCCATATTTGCAGCTGTCCGGCTTGAAGTACAGTTGTCTTGGTGGTCTGTAGCACGAGAGGCAAGGCGCCACTTATTATTAGTGTAATGGGAAGTCACCTTAATGTCACATATCCAGCTCATTATCTTTAGCTGTTTTAAATCCAAAATGGTTCCTGCAAGGGTATATTTTGGGTATACCCTGAAAGTTGGTGGGGACACTCTAAGGGTGGTGGCTTATGGACCTACAGTTACTCCACAAAAAACGCTTTAAATAGGGTTTGTAATATTCCAAAAATGAGATCAAACATATATTTACTGAATTTATTGCTTACCTATTGTTGAGAACACAAAACACCCAAAATACACTGACATTTATATTTATAGATAGACAATGTATATATATATATATATATATATATATATATATATATATATATATATATATATATATATAAAAAAAAGGATAAATAACAGCCGATTCCGATGCAAACAGCAATATATCATGCCTCCCTAGTATGAACACAATTTCAGTTTCATTCAGCCATCCATCAATCCAAAATGTGGATTGACTGATGGATATTTTTCCTTTTGGCTGCACTAGTGATGATCCTCCTTTAAAAGCAGCTAAATAAAATTTACAAATTTGTCCCAAATATTGCCAAAGTCTATGTATTGAAATTATTGGTGAGGACTGTCCCCACCAGTCCAAAGTTGGTGGGGACATGTCAACACCAGTCCTTCAGAAAGGTATGCCTGTGGGTTCTAGACTTCTGTTGGGACAGCTTGCTGAGCGGAGTGTTACTTGGGTCGACATTTGCACATGCCTGCTCATTTGAATGCGTACGTCACTATACAACTAATCGATCTTATTACCTATACATCAATTTTGCAAAAATGTAAAGGAATCGATCCAAAATAAATTGATCTTTTTACCCAGCCCTAGTTTTGTTGCCTGTATGCTGCTCTGTTGTCAGCCTCAAAAAATAAACTAGTCAAAGATGCCTTCTGTTAACCTTAATGGTGGTTTATTTGACTGATCCGCCAGTTTTTGTTACTTTCAGGTGTATTTCTTTCTTTCTTTCTTTCTTTCTTTCTTTCTTTCTTTCTTTCTTTCTTTCTTTCTTTCTTTCTTTCTTTCTGTCTTTCTTTCTTTCAATTACAATAACAATTTTGTTTAGTTTCTTCTTTCTATATATTTTTATGATGAGACAGCATAGCAGACTTTCTTTCTGTCCTTTTTTTAAATCCAAAACTTTATTGAAAAGTTTCAAATTACAAAACATTGACAAAAAAAATATCACAAGATATAGAACAGTATCTCCAAAATAAGTGTTCAATGATGGAGTACAATTAAAATTAAGATATAACATACTTTAACTTAAATAAATAACAGAAGATATTTAAACACAACAATAAAAAATAAAATAAAAAAAGGGCAAGATATATTACATTTCTCCAAATATTTTCTGGATTACGTTAACAGTGTGTATACATTTTTTATTGTTGATTCTTTGGATACAATTGAAGTAATTTTTTTTAATAATTTTCAAACACAGGGAAGAAAGGATAATTGGAAAATTTGGTTTCATGTATGTGGAATTTTGCAATTAGAGTAATCAAGATAACCAAGAGTTGCATTTTCCTATCATTATTAGTATAGTGTAAGACGATATATTTGACTTGTTGCATGGCTGGCAGACTTTCAGTAGCACTACGTTTGTGCAGCTTACGTCACAGTTCACCGCAGACCAATCAGCAGCCTTTGTTGCTAAACCAAATCAGGCTGTATAGCTGCAGCTCCCTCATTATCCAAAGATGGGAGGCTGGAGCTAATGTGGGTTATCGGATCCTCTCTGGAAAAGCAAAACTTCACACATTTTTAAGGGGAAACAGTGAGTATTCTGGACTGGTTTTATTGGGCTTTCCTTTTTTTCTGACGTCGGGCTGCGAAACGATGGAAATGGACTGAAATGGATAAGTTTCATTTCTGAAAGTTTCCAAAAATGGTTTTAATAGCGCGGCAGTCCCTGGTGGCCAGTTATACACTTAACTGCGGCGCCTCGCTGCCTTAAAACCACCATCTGTGAAAATATGAGCAAGGAGACTTTATGATGGAGACGCTATGAAGTCAGCTTTACATCTTTGGATCAATTCAGTCGTGCTACATTAATGGAGCGGGTTCTACTGTTGATATGCTGCGAGTTGATCATAGCCATCGGTTTTTCTGGTGGATCTCCGAACCATAAGCATCGCCCCGCGTGTTGGAAAGCCATCCTCAAGTGTCACGGAGAACCCGACTGCCGTTACGCGTACGACCAGTACATCCATGCCTGCGCGCCCGTCATCAGCGGCGTGCGCAAGATATGCCCCAGTCACTGCATATCATCCCTGATCCAGCTCAATCTGACCCGAAACGGCCCGGATCTGGAGGACTGCGACTGCGCCATGGACCCGGTGTGCAGGAGCACCCAGCAGGCCATCGACCCGTGCGTACCGCGCACCCGCGCCATGGGATGCACCGAAGCCCGGCTGCAGTGCGAGACGGACCCGGCGTGCAGCTCGGCCATGAGGGATTATTTGTTCCACTGCAGGAAACTTTTCGGGGGGCAGAGATGTTCGGAGGGCTGCCGCAAAGTTATCGCCAACATGCGCTCCATACCGAAAGCGCTGCAGCTTGACGCATGCGTCTGCGACGGCTCTGATAGGAACATCTGCGAATACATCAAGCTGAGCATGAGGACTCTGTGCTCGGAGTCCAGCGATGGAGGAAGCGGATTCTCAGACACTATGGAGGACACAGATGATGATGATATTTACCAGGATGATTATTATTATGTTGACAGTTCAGGAAGCTCTCAACCTTATTCTGCACATCTTAAAATCATCATCTTAGTGGTTATTTTCATGGGATTTATCTGAGGAGGAAAAATCATTCAAAGTTTTTTTCCACCAGGGCCAGCCTAAACATTTATGAGGCCCTCAGCTGAACTGAATTTGGCCCCACACTCGTAGTTTATTCCATGCAAATTCACAAGTAAGAGAGGAGGAGTTAACAATGAAATTAGAAGAGATCACATAAATGCAACCCAGTTTCACTACAAATGAGAGTTATATGTATATAGTTAGCTGCAAAATCAAAGCTCCTTATTTGCAACAAGCGTGTGCTCGGTTTTAGTGGTGCACTACAAAGTTCATGCTGTTAAAATACTCAGTGAAATAAAATAATTTTACTCAAGAAATACTAAGTTTTTCTGGTTCTTGTTTAGGATGTTTCTCTATAAATCTTAATGTAAAACCAGAATAATGGAAAACACTACATATAAAACTGTTACACAATACGGGGGGATCCTGTTGAAGATTTAGTTTAAATATTTGTCATTTATCACAGCAAGTAAAACCATCAATTTCCAAGCCCAACTGAGAGCCGTAAGCAGTTGAAAAGTTTATGTGTAGCTTTGGGCTGGCTCTAAAATGTAATCATAAGATTGGTTTGACGTGTTTAAGTTCATCTTCACAGCATTTTTTTTATGTTATTGTATAGCGGTAGTCCTTTACCTAAACATGCAGTGTTTATTTAAATGTCACATTATGTAAAAAATGCTTTTATATTGCACTGTACAGTGAGGTGATTCCCACCTTTGTACAGCCCCGTGTGTTTACAGATGAAAATATATGCTTTCTTCAAGTGCCTAATGTTCCGGAGTAAATGGTTACTTCCATTTTATTTGAGAGAAACCAAAGTTCATTTAAGCTACCTAAATGTGTTTAAACCCCAGGGCAGATTGTGACATCTGCAATAGGAAGCTCTTAGAATGACACACTTGTTTATGTAAACATGGATGTTTGCTTAAGACACAAGTGTTAATTCCTGTGGAATATGTGTTCAAACAGACCAAAGAAGGATAACTTGCATTGTTGGGGATTTGGAGCCAAAATGAAGGTGCTTACTTGGTTAGTTTGTCCTCTCTGACTCTGTTTGTTGTTCTGCTTGAAAAATATCCTTGTGACTTGATGAGCCGAGGTTTTATGTGCCCTAAATAAATACAGACCCATGAATGTAAACCTGTAGTGAATAAAATGGTTTTTAAAGGTGTTTTTGCTCAACTTCATTGTTTAATGTTGTTTTATAAAAACACAACTTGATTGTTTAATGTTGTTTTATGTTAAAGGACTGGGTTCTTCACTTGCGTTTCCTTTCTGACAAAGCTAATAGAGTGCAATAATCATTAATGCACTGCTTGTCTATCCATGGCCAAAAAACATGCAGCGCCCCATGCTGGTTTCTTTTTATTTGAGTTATTTTATTGACATTTTATTACCGTAGACTTTAGACAGTAAAGTTCATTTTAAGGCATTTGATGTTGGAGATGTTTACAAAATTTTTTACCAGTGGGCACAAATTGACACGCTTTTGGTAAAAAAAAATGGCTCCAGTTGGGGCTTATGGAAACAACAACCAAAACTACAATAAATCAAAATAACAACAGGACAAAGTGACAATCAGCCCCTATTGTCACAAACCATGAGCAGAAATAAAAAGAGAGAAATTTACTTTGAATCATTGGTTTATTGTATGTTTTGACTTCAGTATAACCAAAGAAAGACCAAAGTTGACTGGAGCTACACATATTATTATCACTGTAGTAGAACTATTTAATTATTTTATCTATTCTGTGCATAAGAGTATATATTATAGAATATGGTTGTTGAATATGGGCAATTATTCTTATCACAGTTGTAAAGATTCTTTTAGTTGTCTTAAGTAGACAACCCAGGGATGCATGTTATGGCTGAGGCAGCTCTCCATGCGCTAAAAGAAGAAAAGAAAAACTATAGCTCCTCTTTCACTTGCGATAAAGGGTCTTAAAACCATTTGTGGCAGCTATTCTTCTTCCTTAGAAAAAAAGATCTGCTCTCCAACCCAATGGTTGGATGAAAAGTCGAGTGGCACCTCTTTTATGCAGATGCAAAACACACAATGGGGCAGCAGTACAATGTCTGAGCACTTCATTCACTCTGTTCCTCTGTCACTCTTCACATGGAGTGGAGGAAGAGAGAAAACAGCTGTCCCAATGGAAGACCACAAAGATTAGTGATGTCAGAGTTCAGACTCTTCTCTTGGTCAAGCTCCTGCTGAAGCTCTGGAAAGTTTGTATTTGTTTTGGTTAGTTTAAAAGTAATTTTCAGTAGAACACATTACTCTAATTATTGCACAAAAAATTACTTAAAGCGACATAAGCAATCATTAGATTTCAGTTCCAAAAGAAAATATCTTCTTTAACAACTATAGTTACAGTTTTTTAGACTTAGACTGTGCTCTAATTTGCCCATTAACAAATGTAATGTCTTGATTTTTTTGCCAACTTTGGCATCTGGAAAAAGAAAGGAATTTTATTTTAAACCATGTGGAGACAAAGATTCAACAAATCCGCCTTGTGAAGACAGCCTTATTTTAACTTATACAGTTAGTGCCATTTTTGACCTACAAAAACAACAATAGCACATAGCCAATACAACATTTTATATTTAATACAATATTTCCAGTGAATTAAAAATCAAAATGATATGTTCTTTTTAGATTATTAAGATGTTTTGACAATTGATTCAAGATCCCATGCTGCTCTTTAGCCTATTGGATAGTAAAT